CATAACGGAACCAGTTTCGCGAAATTTTGCTACTAACTGGCGAACAATTTTGCCATAAAGGTGTTTGTCAGGATGGCGTTCATTGAATATCTGCGCAACCCGATTGCAAACATCTAGAAATAATAAGAAAAAACAGCAAATTGGTCGAAGGAATTTATCCTTTTCATTTACTCTGATAAATTTTTAAATAAACTTTTCAAATTTCAATCCTTCATATTTTCCCAACGACTCGACCGATCTTCAAAAACGAAGCAGGAAAGTATAGAGAATAGAAAGCACTTTTCATTGCGGTACCACTTGACCTCCCTTCCCATTTGAAAAAAATCGGGGGATGACACCTCCGCTTAGAGGGTTGAAGATTTTGCAATCATTTTTGGGGCAAAAGTTGTACCCCTCACAAACAAAATTGACGTGTTTTTGAATTTTCTGAAAAAAAATTACCCTGGCCGTTATGCCTTGCGGAACATTTTCGATGGGCCACCCTGTAGATCCGAATCCGCGGCACTAAAACAAAAAGCAGTCGCCTTAAAAAAAATTAAAATGGAAATAGCGCAATCTCTAAAAGACACTGGGAAACCAAAAAGGAAAGGTAGACCCTCGTATAATACTCAGCCCAGAAGTCGTATAGAGCAACCAATCAGACCACGACCTGTGGATGCTTCAAGGTTGGATAATACAGCTCCTTGGCCTATGCACACATCTAAAGGCCAGTTGGTGTAGATATTGCACAAATGGGTGGTCTCGAATTGAATGTCAAAAGTGCAATATGCGCTTATGCCTGACAGAGAACAAAAATTGATTTTACCATTTTCACCACTGAAATATTTTTTATAGTCCAATTTACATAGTTGTTTCTTAAGAAAAATGCGTTACTTTTTTACTGTATAACATAACAAACAGTCGTTAATAAATGACTTCTATAAATATGGATGTTTTTTCTCCAAAGATAGTAAAAATACGGTCTTTAATTTATAGCGCCATTTTCCTATACTGTCAATGCAGATATCTTACCTCCGCAAGTTTCATGTGGCCATTTGGCTACAATCATTGCGTACTGCTAATAATAAATGTAGCCATATGGCAACATATTCAAACTTCATTTTCCCTTACATTATAAGGGATTTCAAGTATCAGAATGCGTTCTATGACCATAGCGCATTTGAGCAGAAAAGCATTATATTTTTCTGAGCACGATTAATTATAGTGAACCTTATAGAATTAAGTATATTAAGTCTAGAGTAGGGAATATCCAGCTCAACACACCCTTTCGTATCAAGTCCATGCACATCATTTCTCGATCTGCCGAAACTGTCTGTTGTCGATGACAAAAACTACAACACTGGATTCGGATCCCGAAATGGCGGCGCGAGCAAGGATATGCGCGTAGCGTTCCCGCCAAAGAGATTGGGCCTGCCGGTTGTTTTAAGCTGCGTATAAATATGTCGAGACGAGTGCGAGAGACACCCGAGACGAGTCAACCTCAAGCGGATTTGAGGTTGACTCGTCATATTGGGACGGGGTCTGAGCTTCGAGCCGAGCCTATGCCCAGCCGGACGGCGTTGTCTCCGTTTTTCCGGAGCCTTTGGCGAACCATCAAAGGATTGGGGCGTCTATTTAACCAGTGGCGTATACACCGCGGCTCCGCGGAACAATTGCCTCGAGTCTCAAGGGGCTCGGATTCCACATCCATTTTATATAAAAATAAATATTTTTCCTTTATTTGTAATAATGTTAATAATGCATCCTAACTAGAAAGATGCAATTTTGTCTTCTCTAAAATAGTATAGGTAAGTTAGCCAAAGTAGGTAAATCTCATATACAAAGATTTATTAGTGATTTCTTTTATAAAAACATGAAAATTTTAAGAAAAATGAATAAACGTAATGAACTTTTCGTCGAGTTATTAACGGCTCAAACGTAAATTATGCGCTATTTCTGCTGAACGGAATTAAAGATGTAAAACAAGCTTCTTTACATATAGGATGCATAGAAGATAAGAGAGGCAAATCGAGTGTGTTGAAAAAGGTGGCCATGCTCTCAGAAGTTCCTTACGGTACTTTCATAAATAAAGGGAATCGACAAAGAAAGGAACGATTCGATATAGAAAAATTCAGAAATTTGAACTATCCAGACTACTAAGAAACTTAATTTAAGGCAAATATGAAAATAATAAAGTTCCCGCCATAGAAATAATTAAAAAATACTCTCCGAGCTTTAAAAAAACCCTGTTCAGAAAGCACATTACGGCGAAGGTTTAAAAAACTGGGAATTAGATTTAAAATTATATACATAATAATATTTTAAAAATTATTAATAAGCTTGTTGCAATGATGGAAAGCCATAGAATAATAATGTAGCGAATTGAATACCTTGAAAAAATATACAACTTTAGAAATGAAGAAATGCAGATATATTATTTACAATATATGTTAGTTATAGGCATTTAAATGTAGATTTAAATTAATAATTTAAATCTTAATTACTTAAATTTCTAATTTTTTAAATAAATAAAGTCGAATTAGATCTTATCTTACAGCGCTTTCAAATGGAACGGAGCATCCGCGACTTCGAGCAAGTACCATGAGCTTATATGAACAATTTCACCTGGGTCGCGTATGCTCCGTCCGGATGAGCTATCTTGAAAAAACATCCGTGCGGACGCTCTGCGCGTACGGTCCGCTCCATCTGAAAGCGCTGTTACTCTATTTAAAAATTTTATAGATATACAAACCACATACAAAATATATTATTGAATAAAATAATTAAAGACTCAAAAAAAACGGCCGCCGCCGCTGCCGTGCCGTTATCTCCAGTAGTCGGCGTTCTCCAGTTTTTTTTATGTAAACAGTCCGAATATAATTTAAATTTATCATGAATTCCTTTAATTTATCTAGCTTGTTTTTTTACCTATTTTGAAATTAAACAAGCATATACAGGGTGTTTCAAAAAACATGTTCCATCTCTCGTGGGGAAGTTCCTCACGTAAAAATAAGATTTATTTTTTATATCAACCAATCCAATTCTGCTTTGATTCGTAGCTACAGGGGGTTAAAATAGGGTTCCCAACCGTCCTCTATTCCAGAAACAGTCCTCTTTTTGATCTGATTGTCCTCTTTTCTCTCACGTATTGAAAACTTTGTTACATACTAACTTCAAAATCTAAAAAATATTCGTTTATCGCCACAATGCTTTAAAGAATTGTTAATCTGTGTCTTTTATGTAATTTTATGTTTACTTACTGTTAGTTTATGTCTTGAAAAAAAGTTTGTTGACAATGGTTTGCTTTATTTTAATAAGTTTTGAGTATAAATATTTTTGTGTATTTTAAATATTTATCGCATACCGTTTATATAACTTTTTGGTAAATTCTCGACATTTGAGCGACGTTTCAAAAATGTTTCGCCTGTGCCTTTTTTTATCCTCTCGCCCCTATTTTTTATTTTCAAAGTTGCCAACCCTAGGTTAAGTGTTTTATCATTTTCTTCCAAGTGCTTTTAGTAATTTGAGATCGTTTGATGACTGATTTAGTTCTGATCCGGGTAGTTTTTTGTATAAAACAGTGCCACCATCGTCGATTTTTTTCGTTAAATGCGAATAAGAAAATATCCTGATTATATTCTGGCCCTATCCCTTATTATTTTTATTTACAAGCGATCTTAAGTTTATAACATATACATATATTTTATTTAATTGTTAACATTAGGGTAGTTTTACCAATTGTGTATGTGTGGAATTCCACTGATATGTGTTTTAAGTTGTTTGTTAAATTTTTAAAATTTTTTGATTGTATTTTGCTCTCTTAACTTTGTAGTGTCCTGAAGATGCAAATAAATTTTGCGAAACGTCGACAAATTTAAAACAAAGGACTTCTGTTGATTTTTTTCGATCCTAATCCAATTAAAAAACACATTATACTTAAATTTATTAATTAATTTTTTAAAATATTGAATGGTATCGAATAATACTTTAATATATTTATCAATATTTTAAAGTATCGATACTTTATATTCAATACAACCGATACCAAAATATCGATACTGCCTCAGTATCGCACAGCCCTATGAAGAATTTTGTGGGTTCGCCAAAGGCTCCACTGAAAATGGATAGCCGCGAGACAACGCCGTTCGACTGGGCAGGGACTCTGCTCGAGGCTAAATCGCTCGGCTCGAGGCTATAATATGACGAATTCCGCTTGAGGTTGACTCGTCTCGTCCTCGTCTCGGCATATTAGTACGCCTTTTGGAAAGAATTTGCTATAGCCTCGTTTCATACTCGTTTCGGGTTTGTCTCGTACTTGCCTCGGCATATTTATACGCGGCTTTATATGCCGTGGTAGCCGTTAGTCTGAGTGTCTAAAGGTGCGTACAGACGGTGAGTGACGAGTAGCGCGCGAGGCATTCCATATTTGCTAAGTGTGGACGGGTTCTCGCGATCCAACCTTCGGAGTCTCGTTGCTATCCGTCTTCTGTCGGTTTTTCGACGGCCGATCAAAGAAAGCTAGGGGCGCAGTAAGTCGCGTGAGATTGCGATATATCAGTGTATGCTATACAGAGCTTGCTTGGCTCGTGGCAGGCGTCTCTCGAAAAATAGATTGAGGCAGTGTCGCGCTAGTCGCTATCTCGCCAAAGGTTTGTCTCATGCGTGTCGCGTGCTCCTCTCGACAGGTCTGCACGCACCCTAATAACGTGAAAAATATGGTAAGAAAGGGGTCTGTACTCTTTGTTCAAAACTAGCTTTCCTATAATGTTTTTGGATAACGTAGGAATAATAAAATAGCTGTTTCATATTTTAGGCTCAATCTGGAGGGTATATGAGATATCCAAACGTCTGGATAATATTTGGAACAACGGACGCCATAAAAAATATGAATTACGATATTCCAATTAACAGCTTAGTCACAGTTGCAGAAAAACAATCAACACACAATGATACCTATATAGAATTAACAGCTATATATCAAATAAATAAAAAGTACAGAACATACATTGCTAATAATTTAGGAAATTGGACTACAAATAAAGTGTTTTCTCTCAAAGAAATTATCCTAACGAGAAACAGGACTAATTTTTTAAAAATGCCATTGCGAGTTGCATATGTTATTTTCGATCGAGATTCCTTTAAACATTTAACTGACTATAGGTAAGATAAATGTGTAGTAGTTATTCTGCTTTTATAAAAATTAACAGACATCGCACGACACGGTAATATCATAAACTTTTCATTTTTTCAAACAACCGGAACGAAAAGAAACTTCCTATTTGATGTTGATCCAGAAAACTCAAATGGTGTTATGCATTATATTTTTTGTGATTTTTTATGTGTTTGGAAAATAACTACCTTTTGTAGTTCTATTTTAAAATGGATTTGAATCATATATATTATAGGAAAACATTCATTATATAGATAATGCACAAGTACAACTGAATATTCGACGGAAAGTGCTTTCAAAAAGAAATCGTTTTTTATTATCATATTTAAAATTTATTAAATTGTTTCGACTAGGCAAACCTGTTTGACAGGAACTAATTTGGGATAGTTTCAGCTTTTATTGAGGCACCTACAAGGCAATAAGCATTATCAGCAATTACAAAGCCACTAAAATGCTATCGATTTATTAGTTAATAATGTATAGGGGTCGATATATTTCGTGAAGAAATGTGTATTAAGAAAAGACCGTTTTATGATATATTTTACATCGTTATCGACATTCAATACACGTTAGGTAATGATTAAATTGAATTTCTTTATGACCCCTTTATGAATATTTTTAACAATCTTATTTGTAGAATAACCTATACTAACTAAGACCTTACTTGCAAATTACCATAACAATATCAACGCATTTAATAAGTGTAGAATGTAAAACCTGAGCCTCTCCTGTAACCCGCGCAATTAGTAATTAGATTGCTGTAAAGTAATTCGTAAGTCCTTTGGATTGGTCTAGAATAATTTATTTGAGCAGATGATGGCGACAATGACGCCGATAAACGTACTCTCGAAATTAGGAGCCGCAAACCATTTCCAGCTGACTTTTGAAATACTATACTTCGCTCGCTTATCTTGTTCATTCACACAATGTTGGTTTTTGTTGGAACATTTACTTCAATGATAAATATGGTGCCTGTTGGTTTATGTAGCAGAATAATAATAATTTAAAATATTATATTATTTCTTTTTTTAGGTATAAACACATAGATAACCTAACCAAAATTAACTACATCCTTTTTAATGCGTTATGCGATCTTCTTAATACAACCCAAGTTAAAATATTTAGACTGGATTGGGGATTCAAAAGCAAACAACCTAATAACACATTTACAAAAGGCCTATTTGGAGACATCATATATGACAGAGCCGATATTTCAGGTAACTTTAATTTAGTACATATTATTAAAATATGGCATAAGAAGTATAGAAAGCACATCATAATTAAAAAGAGTATTTTATATGTATGTCCCTGTAATTTCCAGTAAGTTCTCCCACAATGGGAGTAGTAACAGAGAATCCCTTTAGATATACTACAACCTCACTTATTCTGCTTGATTTTGCCAAAGCTTTTGATACTAGGGGAAGTGCGGGTATTACCGCCCAACGGATAATACCGCCCATCTCTATAAAACTGTTAATATTGCACATAACTTATAAATTTGGCAACGATGGAGCCATTTGATATTGCCCCGCGTCGCAGAAAACGGAACGCACGTTTGGATTCACTTTCAGTGCTTCTACAGATAGCAATGTGATAGAGTGTGTCGCCAGTCTAATTTTTTTTTGCCGGAAAATAAGCCGTAAGTACCATGCTTTTTATAAAATCGAATTAATTTTGGACCGTTATGCTACTTAATGATTCTTATATCCAACTGTGCGTCGTTTTTATTGATATCTTAAACGATCGTCGTAGAAAAAAAATTGTAAACAAAATGGCGATGTTGGGTAATACCGCTCACCAGTAGGCGGTATTACCTTCAATAATTTTAGTTGGGCGATATTACCCGCCTATTTTTAGTTAGTAAATTATAGTTTCAGATATGCCAAAAACAAAAAATTGTCGCCAAAATGCAGTCTGGGCCACTGAAACACTCCAGGCCGCTATGCAAGCAGTTAGAGATGGAAAAGGGAAAAGGAAGAGTGCTAGAGAATTTGGTATGAATATTTAAAAAAAATACTCATATTCAACGTTCTAACAATTTTAATTTTATTTTCAGGAATCCCCTATTCTACTTTAAAAGATCGCCTTAAAACAAATAATCCTTCTGCACCTCAACTTGGCCGTCATTGTACATTTTCACCTGATCAAGAAACACGACTAGAAGAGCGATGCATTTACCTAGCAAAGATGTTTTATGGCCTTACAGCCATGGATTTACGAAGAATTGTGTACGATTTTGCCCAAAAAAACAATATACCGCATTGCTTCAACCACGAAAAGAAAATGGCGGGTAAAGACTGGTTGCAATCGTTTTTAAGGCGCCATCCACGCTTGACCATGAGGAAACCTGAACCAACCAGCTTAGGGAGAATTTCCGGTTTTAATGCAGACAGCGTTAACCTTTTCTTCGCAAATTTGGATGAGGTTCTAAAAAAATATAATTTCCCACCAAATCGTATATTTAATGTCGATGAAACGGGTGTCACGACCGTTCAAGTGCCTTCCAAAATAATTTCTCCAAGAGGTATAAAACAACTTGGTAAGGCTGTAAGTTGGGAAAGAGGTCGAAACATCACCGTGTGCTGCTCAATAAGTGCTTCAGGGATATACCCCCGATGTTTATATACCCGAGAGCTCGAATGACCGATCTTCTTAAACGGAATGGACCTGTAGGCGCTATATACGAATGTTCTACCAAAGGCTGGATGAACGAAGAGCTATTTCTAACATGGGTAAAGCATTTTAAAAAACATTCTGCAGCGTCTAAAGAAAATCCAGTTTTGCTCTTGTTAGATAACCACAGTAGCCATTGCTCTCTAGCGACTTATGAATTTTGTCGTGAAAATGGGATAATTATGTTATCCTTCCCACCCCATACGTCCCATAAACTGCAGCCTCTTGACTTAACAGTTTTTGGGCGATTAAAATCTGCTTACTCGAATGAATGCTCACTTTTTATGAGACAAAACATACATCAAAAAATAACACCATATGATGTAGCTGAGATTTTTAATCGTGCTTTCATCCGTGTTGCTACTATTGAAAAAGCTCAGAAGGGGTTCGAAGTTAGTGGGATTGTACCATATAGGCCAAATGTGTTTACAGATGAAGATTTTTTGCCCGCAACCCTTTCTCAAATACCAGTAACAGCTCAACGTGAACCTGACGCACATGAACCTCAACCCTCTACCTCTGATGGTAACGCGGAACGTCAACCCTGTGCCTCACGTGAAGTTGAGCCTCAACCCTCTACCTCTCGAAGAGCTGATCGTCAGCCCTCTATATCTCAAGGAACTGAATCTCAAGCCTCTACCTCACTATTAAATACTGATAAGCATCCGAGTAAAGTAAAAACCAATATATCGATTGAAGAAATAACAGCCCTCCGCAGAGTTGAAAAAAAAGGACTAAACAGAAGGGCAAGAAAATTAGGAATATCAAAAATCCTCACAGCCACTCCAGAGAAAACTGAGCTGGAAAAAAAAGAAGAAAGAAAGTTACAGAAAAAGAAAGGGAAAGTCCCGCTGCCGGTCAAGAGAGTAACAAAAAACGTTAAGTTTGATGATGATACTTCCAGTGCATCCTCTTGCAATGAAAGTGAACTCTGCGATGATAAAAGCTCCGACAATCTTGACGATGGTGGAATGGAAGATGAAATATGTATGCTTTGTGGTGAATTCGGCAAATCAGAAATGTGGTATAGGTGTGGTATTTGCCACAAGTGGGCACACAAAGAGTGCACTGGTTTCGATGACTACAGAAAGTTTGTTTGCGATTTTTGTTCTTTAAGTAGCTATAAGTAAAGAAAATATTTTTGATATGGACAGGTAGTTGTTTTTTCGCAGATGCACCATGTATAACTAAACTGTTTTTAACATTCCACTTAATAAAAAAAGAATATTTTTGCATTTTTGAATTATGTGTTTTTTGATTTATTGTTGCAAGACAAGTAATGTTATTATACAAAACGTATTTTTACGCTGTTTCTTTTAGTGGGCGGCATTACCCTTATAGGTGAGCGGTATTCCCGTATGTTGCTAATTTCACCCAAAGGCAATACTTTGAAAATCAAAAATATTTTACACTTAATAATCTATCGGAATAATCTGACAATAAAACATCAATAGCAAAGAAAAGTATTAAATATTGACGTCCTCGTTTTCATTATATCATCAAAAATAACTTAATTGTTTAACATATTGCTTAAGTGGGCGGCAATACCCGCACTTCCCCTATAAATCACAATTGAAGAGAAAAAGAGACACCTTCTGAAATAAAATATTCTATAAATAATGAGGACATCGTACTTGTTGATTCCGTCAGAAACGTAGGCGTTTATTTTGATGAAGATATGAAATTTTCAAAAATCATATTTTACAATTAACAAAGACATACTATACAGGGTGACAATTTGAAAACGAACAGTATTTAATATTACCTCTACCGATGATAGTATGAAAATTTAGCAAAATACGTCAATTTATATATCAAGGGGGACAATTTTTGATAAAATTCTCAAAAAAATAATGCAGTTTATGTAGAAATCTATAAGAAACACAAAAATGGTAAAAGAAATAGGGGTTGCTATTTAAAATTTTAGGGATAGGTGCCCTGGGGGTCAAGGCGTTGAAAGTAACACGACAACAAATGCCTCAAAAATTGTCCCCGTTGATATGTAAATTGACGTGTTTCGCCAAATTTTCATACTATCATCGCTAGAGGCAATATTAAATACTGTTCGTTTTCAAATTGTCACCCTGTATGAACTTAAGATTACTCTATTCACACACAAACAGACAACTACTACCCTACAAAATGAGAGTGAGACTCTGTTCCGATTATTAAGTTATCTCCCGATTATTATATTGCATTTCTGTCTATTATCCGGGTCTGGACAATATCGCTGCCAGGCGACAAAAAATTCAAAATACCTGCTGTAGATTTGTGTATTGTGAGACTCCCGCGTTTTAGAGAAAGGTCACTGACGCAGAGTTGCCTTGGTTCGGTTTCTCGGGCGCCATCCCAATGTTTAAAGTGTTTGAGAGAACACTAGTGCCAATACGGGTAGCTTTTATACAGTGGAGATACCAGGGAGTGATGAGATGAAAAGAAAATAAAACACACAATTAACTATAACGTAACACTAGGCTTTTATTTAACTAATTAATTATGTACAAAAATAATCCAGGAAGGTTCACGTCCTCGAATGTTACGATTCAGTGAAATAAACTTACAAAGTTTGTACGAAACAGTGAAATAAAATGTATATTTAAAGACCCGTAAAGTAAACTTTACAATAATAAAAATAAAATAAATATTTAGTACCTCGCAGAACAAAATTTACACTAACCACCGTGTACCTCTAGAGTTTTGATCGATTATTCCCCAGATGCAACTCTCTGACTGATTCTATCACGCGAATTCAAAACGCGTTCCTGAAATGACGTCCTATTAAATAAGATGACGCGAGTTCCTGATCGACGTTGAATTTAGCGGCGTCCTAATGAACACGGACACGTAAGTACCGGAGCAACATACTCTGCTATGACGCGATTCTCTAAACGGCGGCGACGTCGTTACAGGCGTCCCGATGGTCGCAGCTAAACATTTCTTGGAACGGCGTCCGTTTTGACAACGTAACACGAACCTCGGATCGGCGTCGACGTTAAAAGCGTCCCGTGATACCCAAACGCGAGTCCTGGATTGATCGCGAAACTAACAGCGTCCTGTAGGATATACACACACGCGAGCCCTAGATAAATCGCGAAATTAACAGCGTCCCGAGGGATACGCAAGCGCGAGCCCTGGATCGATCGCGAAACTAACAGCGTCCTGTGGGATATACACACACGCGAGCCCTGGATAGATCGCGAAATTAACAGCGTCCCGAGGGATATACAAACGCGAGCACTGGATCGATCGCGAAACTAACAGCGTCCTGTGGGATATACACACACGCGAGCCCTGGATAGATCGCGAAATTAACAGCGTCCCGAGGGATATACAAACGCGAGCCCTGGATCGATCGCGAAACTAACAGCGTCCTGTGGGATACACACACGCGAGCCCTGGATAGATCGCGAAACTAGCAGCGTCCTGTGGGATATACACACACGCGAGCCCTGGATCGATCACGACGTCTCGGCGAGTTGTACGTCGTTTGGAGAAGCGCAGCCCGCACACACACCGCTCGGTCAGGTCAACCTCGGGATTTCGCCGAGATCCCGTTCAGCGTCACTGATGCAGGGTGTCGTCCGGACGACACACCTAGAAAAATACGGTAGCTACAAAACCAGCCTCGGGATTAGGGCGAAGTCCTGTGTTAGCTCCGTGAACATTCGCGACCCGTGTGTTTACTGTACCACCTTGCCCGTTATCTGCCTCACTCTCCTTCCTTTCCCTAACAAAAGAAATCGTTCCTCGCGTCCACGTGATTCGGTCAACCTGGCCCCCACCTTGCTAGAGGACGGTTGGTCTACCTGAGCGAATACACATTTTCCTAGCTTTCTGTGTTCGCGCGTTCCGTTCAAATATCCCCCCACCTTGCTAGAGGACGGTTGGTCTACCTGAGCGAATATAACTATCTCTGTCTCCCTTATCCCTGTAACGCGTCAAGGCAGTAAAGTAAACGGTATTAACAATAAAAAGAATACGACCTACTCTTGATCACGTTGGCGGTGGATGCTTACCTTATACAGTACGGCGGCAGGTGGCTGGCAGCAGGGCACTTGGCAGGGCACTCCGGACTCGAACCTCACTGGTTCACGTGCGACCACTAACTAACTCTCTAGTGTTGCAGCAGCCGAGGTACTCGACTGACGCTCCCCTCCACTCAACCTGCACTGGTAGGGAGAGCGGCGCACACGTCTCGGTTTCTCGCACCGAACTACAGCGACCAAAACCGATCAAAACTCTCTTACAAAATGGCAATTAAATATTTAACTTATTTAATTCAACAATAGAAACACTAATGAAGTTCATTAAAGAAAATAAAGTCCCTATTATTCTAGTATAATATTAACACAATATACAGGGTGTCCTAGAAATTTTTATGTGTGTGAACTTCATTACAGTATAACTCACGTAAATATGATCATGTATCAGCAGCTCTTCAAAATCTTAAGTGGTTAAGGGTAGAAAACACTTTCAAATATATATTTTTATCGTCGCTCAAACGTGTTATAGAAACTTCATTACCTCCCTATTTGGGACAAAAATTAATTTTTAGGTAAAACATACATAAGTTGGATTTAAGAGACAACATTTTTCTTACTATGCCTCTACATAGGACAGCCATGTTTCGGAAGTGTTTCACCTATAATGCTGTCAACCTGTTTAACGCCTTGATCAAAGATTTAAAATTATATATATTCGTACACTCTAAAAAATTTAAAATACATTTAAAATCATATTTATTCGATATTCAAAATGGTAAGGTAATTTAATTCTGTTATTGTGTAACTTTTTTTTCTTTCTGTTAATTTATTATTAAAATATTTATTTATTAATTATCTTTTCGCATAGACCACTAGATTATAATATTTGTGTTAGATTGTAAGCATTATTGAAATTTTTGGGCTAAGCGTGAGTGGCTTTTTTAGCCAGACTTCGCCCATTTATTTATTAAATAAAGCCATTATTATTATTAATATTATATATTAACCAATGCGAAATGTTGTATTATTTTTATTATTAATCCAAATGACTTTGAATGAATATAATTTTTACTACTATTGTTCAAAAATTTCTTATCTATAAAGCAATATATTGTTTATTAGTAAATCGAAAAATTTTTTGTATTATATTTATTGATGAAAATTATGATTTTTAGAAAAAATCCCATTCCTTAAAAATATTTATTTATTGCTTAAAAATTCGATTGTTAATTAACAATCGTTTTTTGCGATTAAATATTAAGATACTTTTTCTCTAAAAATCATAAAGTCTATTGTTTTTTGAAATTTAAAAGAAAAAACATGTTTTTTATTTGATTATTAACAAACAATTTGTGATAAACAGCAATCAACTTAGGGAAATTACCTCCAAATCAAACCAAACCAAACCAAGTGAAGTTTTGGCTTGGTAATTATTGTTTAAATCCGGAGGGGATTAAATCCGAAACAATGTATCTGCCAACGAAAACAACGGAAAAATTGGCGCCTCATGAACTACTTAAGCTGCTTCATTGTAACTGCATAAAAGAGTGTACAAATCGATCTGGATGTAAAAGAACTCGACCGCCTTGCTCATCTTTGTGCAAAAATTGTAAAGGTGAATCTTGTTCGAACTGTACAAGGCCCCCTATTATTGATGACGAGCATGATGATGACACCCAAAATTTCGATGGAAATGAAGACCTTAGTAATTTTCAGAATAGTGTGAATAGGTACCGGAGGACGATAATGAACTTCAAGAAATATTAACACAACAAATATTAGTAGAAACCGTGGATGATGAGCTACCGCCGAGAAAACGATCCAAAAGATTTGTTAAAAATAATTGAATACATTTTTTGTAAACTTCAAAAAATATGATTTAATAAATATAAAAATAGGTACCATTCATTACGTTTTTGATTTTCCTTATTTCATAATTTCTATGTGAGAATCTTTGCAAAAAAAACTGAATTCTAATGCACCCGTCCGCCTTAAGGCGGTCCTCATTCAAATTCCATTTACAAGTTAAATACGTTTGATTTCGTCGTTACTGCACAAACCCACCTTAAGACAGGTTTGGATCGGTATCCGAATGTATGTTTGGTTGCCTAACTATTAGACAATTGTACACAAACACCTGTTCGAAATTATTATTTTTCAATTTCTGTCAAATAACGAGTGATTGCGAGTTTGTTATTTTCGCGGAAAGTTAAAAATCGTTTTTAAATCGATTTTCGAGTTTATTGAACTGCCTACAAAATTTTCTTAACAAGAAAAAAAGTCAGTGTCGCACATTTATTAAAAACATATTCCAGTTTTAACCCACATGCAAGTCGCTGGTGAATCTGTCGACACTTTTTAGTATTAAAATGTGTAATACTCAAGTAGTAAACTTTTATCCTCAAAATTTCATTCGAATCGCTAAAAGCACATTAAACGGCCTACAGAATTTCGCAAGTAAGAGAAAAAAATCAGTGGCGCACATGTTTTTTTTGGGTAATTTTGAGTGAACCCATATGCGCGTCCCAGGTGAATCTGTCGACACTTTTTTACTACTAAAATATCTACTATAGTAACTTTTACTCTGAGAATTTCATCTGAATCGCTAAAAAAGCACTTGGAAGAAAATTATAATAAACCGAAAAAAAAACAACCCCCTGTTGCTACAAAACTACTACAAAACAAAGCAGAATCGGATCTATATTGATATAAAAAATAAACCTTACTTTTATGTGAGGAATCTCCCCACGAGAGGTGGCACATCTTTTTTTAAACACCCTGTATAAAATACGATAAACGAATATCTAGGTAAAACCGCAAATTTCACTGTAAAATATCATGTGTTAGAAGAATGGTACTGAATAGACTCTGCTCTTTGGAAAACATATAAGTTGAGTGATTTGTTCTTCTTACTTCCTTTCCTGTTTCTAATCTACATTTTAAAATAGTTATCCTATAATAGCTATATTACGTACCATATACTCAAAATAACAGAGTAACATATAAACTAGTTATCCTAATTATATTATGAGTATATGGTTTGTGCGTAGAAAATGTATTTATTTGTTCTTTTAGGCACTGTGTCCTTCACCCCAGCTAACCGCTTACAACATTTTAATTACCTCTTCGCTCCAATGAGAGAATTCTCCGTAAATTTTATATTCCGAGCACCTCCATTAGCCTATTATTCAAACTTATTTACGTTGCCGTTTGACAAATGGGTTTGGCTGACCATTGCTGGTTTCGCAATTTTTTGTGGATACGTCGTTAGAATTATATTTTCATGGGAATCGAGAGAGGAAGTTTTTGAAGAACATAATGAGAATAGGCCAAGTTTTCTAGATATCGTCATGATGCAGGTACGAAATTAAACGTGTATAATATAGTACAGTCAGTGTTGCCAACTCAGTAGGAAACCTACTAAATCTACCAGGTTTCGCAGAGGCTTCGGTAGAAAATTTTATCATTAGTAGGTCAGTAGGATTTTTGGTAGGTTTCGTCATAATGACGTACATTGTGAATTCCAAAAATCCCGACTCAAACATATTTGTAAATTAAAATCATTATGCCAGCGACATCTGTGAACAATACTCTCAATCCCAATAATAAAGCCAGTTTAGTCGACTGTATGGATGGTAGATGGCAGTTGGCATTTGAACGCGGGACCGGGACCCGGGGATTCACCTATGTAATCTGTTTACTGTTTTGTATTGCTCATTATATTTATCGCCACTTTATGGTAAGAAATAGTGTGGTTATTGGTGATTTATTTATTAAATGTATTAGTATTTGTGTTCTTTATAATTTAATTTGGTAAGTTTCACATTATACTACCGCTTATAATATAAAGTACGTAAAGTAAAGTAATTATTGCCATGTTCCTAATATTGTCATCCCAACCAAAATCGTAACGTCATTGATCTTGCGGCCGGTATAAGTACTAAACCATTCTGAGGAGTGATATTGGCAACTAATTGAACGTACCAAAATAATGCCAAGTCGACTCAAAGCATTGGAAATGTACACACATCTTTTATTTTACTCCCGTTATAAAAAGTTAACGTTTATTTGTGGTCGTTGCGGTTTTCGGGTTTAGATTTTGAAGTGCCAAAAATTACAGAAGGTAAGTCCTTAGGTATCCATATTGTTGTCGTGGTGGTGTTAGGTTTATTACAAAGGTATTTCTTGAAATCGTTAGTCGTTTGGTTAATTCATAGGTGCCTAATATTGCCATGTTTTGGTAGACCAAATAATGCCATGGCAATATTTGGCAATATTTTTTTTTGCCTTATGGAATTTAATTTATAATAATTATTATATGAAAAAAAAAATTCATCCACAAAAATACACGTTATAATAAACATTATAACGTTATTTACAGAAGTCAGAAAAAGGTGGCAAAATTAGATACCTACCTCTTAAAACCTTGTGGAAGCTCAGAATTTCTGTGGAAGTCTCAGCTGGTAGCAGCTATATATTTTCAGTAGCTTATGTAGCTGGGTATATCTTAAGGAATTTTTTGAAAGAAATTACTTGTGAATTGTGCTGTTCTCAATTAGTATCCAATAATTTACAACTGCACAATATTTTTATTAGTAATAAGGAATGGACAGATTCAAAAAATTCTTTAATCTATCCCAGCATTTTACAGTTACTGTGGGAAATGGCATAATAACGCTGGAGTTATTTCTTAACAAATATGCCTCACAAAAAAAAATTACTAATCCATGCTCAGGGGTATTTAAAAGAAAACTTGGATTTTGTATGGATATTATGTGAAAGACATCAAGAATTAATTTCAAACATGACAATAAAGTCCCTTTGTAAAATTGGCATTCTATGGTGGTGTAAAATATTTAACGAGGAAATTAAAGCTGAGAAACAAGAGGCTAGGGCTAATAAAAGAAAATTAAAGAAGTTTCAGCATTAATAACACTAGTTTACAAATTTTTATATTTTTTTATTCAGAGTGAGACTTAAATAAGTGCAACTATTTTTAAGGGTAGTATATTTCGATCCAGCAACACGTCTATGAGAATTTTTACCGGAAAAATAATTGTAAAATTGGAATTTTTTAAAAGATTTTTTGGAATTTTTTTTATAATTTTTAGTTAAAAAACATAATATCTTCATAAAATGGCAACATACATAGGTAGTAGATTAAATTTCCAAAAATCAATTTTTTGGAAACTTTCAAAGTAAAATATATCGGTTATTTTGGACTTATTTGAGAAACGGAAAGAGACAATATGTTTCTTTTATCGAGATCTACCAGCTCTGAAAATTTTTGGACTTATTTAAGTTTTACTTTGGTGAAACGCTTATTTTTGCATTATATATACTCAGGGCCGTATCTAGACCAAAATTTCGGGGGGGGTTTGGCTTGGGGGGGGGGGTACAAAAGCTGCTAGGAAAAAAGCGTAATAAAAAAATCGCTTTGGGCTACACTCAAATCTTAAATGAAAATAAAATTAAAAAAAAGTAACAGGTAAAAATTATTAATCTTAAAGGATAAACTGGTCTTTTCCCTGGAAAAACGATTGACTACCTCTTCGATATCGATATTTATTTCTCTATGTACGCTTAATAGAGCAAGTCCTGTCAATCGCTCCTGACCTGTAGAGTTACGTAGGAAGTCCTTCAATCGTCTTATGCCGCAACCGCACATGCGGCATTTAGCGAACTCCGAGCGCTCATCAACTACCGAACGCTCGTGATCGGACTTCGCCTTTCCATCCACACATGCGGGCTCTGATAGCAACAACATAGAGATGAGCGCTCGTTCTCGTAGCCGATCGAGTCGCCGAACTCCGATTTCCTCATCCACACACATAGGAAATCGGCGAAGCTCCGATCGGAGATCGCCGAATACCGCATGCGTGGTTGCGGCATTAGGGTTCAAAAAGACCTTTCTGGTGTAGCTGTTGACGCTAGTAGAGTTGCTAGGATCATTAATAAAATGTATATATTTGGAAATATACACTGGTTACACTCCGATTATCGTTTCGATGGCGTTTTTAGGTCGGTCGACTGCAGGTAGCTGCTTCCATTTTTCCCGCCACAAGTCTAGTTCTGCCGCTAAAGTGTCATAGTCCAAGAATTCTTTGTCTAATAGCAGAACAATAACAAACGTTAATCACGTTAATGACCAGCAAAACACACAACATTCAAAATCTTGTCCTTGTCAAACTTTTGCTGTTTTAAACACTTAAATGTTGAAAGTCGAAAATCGAAAATAACATTTGCTTTCAAAGTGGAAAAGTGAGGTTAAGGTGTATAATGTATATTCATCAATGACTAAAAAATACAAGGACAAATAGCACCCGAGACCAAACTGTGACCATTCTTCCAAACAGTACCGTGGCACATATTTTACTTAACATTGCCGCTTGAAGGGATATTAATATTTTTGATATTATATGTTTTCACTACGCCTATGGTGTATCGGGTGGTATCATACTAATTAATTACGAAAAAAACGTATTAAAATGTTAACAAAAGGTACATAACTAGTATCGACGTATAGTACATATCAAGTACATATAATATCAGAAAAATATGGGGGTTGGAACCTTTGGTGTTACAACTTTGAATAAGAAGACTAAGGAAGGAGCATATCACAAATCTTAGGTACACCGCGATGGGCCTCAAATATGGCCGACTTAAATTCCGGTTTATCAGTGTCGTTCTAATTTTATTTAAAAAATGTAAAACTATGATGTAGGGTAGACGTGGGGTAGACTCAATAATTTGTTGTTTTATTTTACGTTGTGAATAAATGTTGGTAGTTATTAAAATTGTTATAAAAATATATAATTCTAATAAAAATAGATAAGTTATAATAAGTATTTATTAACACAAACATCCGATACGCTACTGAAGCAGGTAAGTCAAATTAACGTATCTAAATTCTTTGACATCTAATCTTTGACAAGTAATAAATAAAAGCTAAAATGCAAGAAAAATATATAATTTAGTTAATTTAAGTGAATTTCATAAATGATCGGTTTACTACACGTATGTATATTATATAGTCACTTACTAGCGAAAAGTTGTTCCATTATTTCACTCAATTTTTGCCGAGATCTACCGCACGCTACACAACCAACTATTTTAGAGTCTTTTCGATAAATCGCGATAGTGTCACTGTTAATTTAAGTTCTGCCACAATTTCCATCTAGATTTACTACCTTTATACAACTATCAGTAGTAGAATAAATAATAAATAACATAAAATAAGCTCCGTAAAGACTGACAAATCCACAAAATTTCAAATCAAATTCAAATGTGTCAAATGAATCTGTCAAGGATCCCCACCCTAGAGAGCTTTTATGGTGGCTTTTCCGCCCACCATGCATGAATACATGGATAGCATTATGCTCCTTCCTTAGTCTTCTTATTCAAAGTGTTACAACAGCAAAATAAAACACTAAATCATTACAATATACCAAAACATTTTTACTTTTGCCGCGTCCAGTGCAAAAGTAAAAAAGTTTTGGTATAATATAATGTATAAAAGTAAAAAGTTTCGCAAACCATGTTAGCATCATCAGCAGATAATCAAAACTTTCATGATTAAGACTTCTTTCATTTTAATCGTCTGCTGATGAAGCCAACATAGAAACGCGCGGCCATATGATTTAGTGTTTTATTTTGCAACCTCCTACTACTAAAAATCTGTATTCAAAAAAAATCTGTCACATCACATTTTTATAGAATGAAAATATTTTTTTTTGGTGAACCTGCGTCATCTCATTTTTTCATATAGAAAAAAATCTATCAGGTCACATTTTTAGAGTATGAGAATAATGCCGGTCTCACATGATGTGGCAAACACCTTCCAATGTTGGACACATGGACATTTGCTACATCGTGTGTGACCAACTATTACCAATTATGTGTATTGTACAATATTGATGTTGAACAATGTCGAAAACTATGCCGAATGTTGGTAACTGGCTTAACTTTTTTTTACTATCTATATGTTTTGTATCAAGTGCTCAGTATACCACATTCCGGAAATATCGTATTGTACATTCATACATTCGTATATTCTGACAGGTTTTTGGTATGAAAGCATGTTAGGAGACTACTCTTGGTCCATTTTAAGAGAAACAAACCAGCAAAATTATAAAAAGAATAGTAAAATCAGTCATTTTTAATTTTTTCTTTTTATATTTTATCTTTTTTTCGTTTATTTTTAACAATTAATATAAATAAACTGGACGTGATAGATTTTTTTAAATATGTTTCCTTAACTCAGCGCATTAAAATAAAAAAATGCACATTTTGAGGAAAGCAAATAAACCGTGTAAACTAGTGTAATTTTTGCATTATTACGTATTAACAATCTTTTTTA